TAATTTGGTCATCTTTCTTTTAATTTCTTATTTTGTTTCTTTTTTTTTGTCAAAGTTTTTATAGTTTTTAATTTTATCTTTCAAATCAAATTTATGTTTTTTGTTATTTTAATAGTAGTAGTGGTAGTAAAATATTGTAAATTATAATTTAGAATAATAAATTCTAAGAAATTATAAATTTTATTTTTAATAAATTATCAATGAATATAAATTTGAATTCTATTCAAATAAAATGAAATAAAAAATTAAATGTAAAAAATATTATATATATACATATAATGAGGAATATAATAGCAATGGTCTTGAAAATAATATATAACATAACTATTCACAAATAGAATCCAATTAATGTGTATTATTATCAAGAACAAAAAGTATAAATATAGTCTAATGATAAAAATTTTCCTTGCTAAAGAAAAGACATGATAATAATATCAGTAATACTATTAGTTATAATAATAATAGTTATTGCAGCAGATATGTGGTGATAATAATAATAATAATATTAAAACTGTCAAAAATTTTAGATGATAAATCCAGCAGCTACTAGTAATTAAAAAAAAAACTTTCATGTATAATTTTATTCTTTATTATCTTCTCTCTCATTATAGGTGGCATTGTGTTATTTAAAAATAAATATAATTGTCTCAACTTTAATTAATATTGTTATGTATTTATAATGATGAATTTTTTAATTTTATTTTAAAATCTAAACATTATTTTTTATACAAAAACAAAACACGGCGGGAGGCTATGAAAATCATTTTTAGCGTGCACACTAATCAATAGACAATAAAGCTATTAAAAGTTTAATCCCGCATTATTAAAGTCATGATAAAATATGTTTAAAAATAACGACTCATATACAAGAAAATACAGTGTAAATTAAAAAAAAAATTAGATCCAAATCCACCTGTCAAAATAAAGAAATAAAATAATTCATAACATAAAATTCAAGATGATAAAGAAACGGGCTTTAAGCTCATATCCACCTATCATATCATACAATATAAATACAAATTTGAGCCCATGGCCTAATTCTATTTTCTCTCAGAAACGTTTGCAAAGATAAATTTGCTAGCGGCACCTAAAACATAAACAAAGATAAAAATAAGGAAATGAGAAAAAATAAGGGATAATAATAATAATAATAATAATAATAATAAGAAGAAGAAGAAGAAGGATGATGTTATTACTACTCGTATTTTAGTTATTCTCACTCCATTATTTACTATACAAACTAAAATAAATTTATTTAATGTATTTATTTTATTTTATGTGATTTTAAAGGTAATTAGTTTTAAAATGGAACTTTCTTATATTTTTTTATCATTCTGACACTCGATGTGATGTTTGATGGAATGCAAATCAATACACACACCACACTTAGCCATTTAAAAGTTTGCTACTACTTAACGAGAAACCTCTACATACTTGTTCTTTGTAACTAGTTACGTAGTTTCTCACAATTAAAAATAGACATGGTTACATCACATTATTGATAGAATGTTTGTTTTTATATTTCATAATTATTTTTAAGAAAATTTAAATTTTTTATGTTTTTTCTTTTCAAATTGTACCTTAAAAATAGATTTAAAAAATAATCACTACTATAATACTAACCGGATTATAAATCTTACACCGATTAGCTTAAAAACACGAGTAAATCTCAAATATTAATTAATTAATTAAAAAATAGAAAAGGGGTTAACAAAACATTATTTATTTATTGAAATATTATTTTTTTAATTTATGTTTTTTTTAATGTTATCTTTCAGATTTATTGGAGATTTAGTTTCATAATTTATTGTGATTTGTTTTTATATACTTATCTCAGTGTCATAACTCATATCATGAGTTTAGCAGATTAACTCTATTGTCTTTAGTTCTTTCTTCTCTCTCATTTTTTAATTGATATTTTTATAATTTTATCCTTCAACATTGCGTTGATTATGAAATAGGTTTTGTCATTTGTTTCAGTTTGTTTTTTACGAGGTTATTCCAGTTTCATAACCTAAATTACATATTTTACAGATTAACTTAAGTATATTCAAGTTATTTTATGGTGTTTTTTTTTATCCGTTTTCATCATCTAATAATAAGTTTATTAGGAATTGAGCTTTGTTCAATTTTATTTTAATGGGTCTATCCAAGTTTCATAAACAGAGATGCAAGCTTGACATGTTAACCCAGATCGACTTGAATAGTTTTTTTTACTTGCTGTCTATGAGATTATCCATTTCTCATGACCAGGATCATGAGTTTGGTGGATTAACTTAAGTTGACTTTAATTGTATTTTTTTGTTTTTTTTTCAATTTCATCCTTCAATATTGGATTAATTAAAAACTATGCTTCATAATCTATTTTGATTTATTTTTTATGTGATTATCATGGTTTCATGAGCGAGTCGTGAATTTGAAAGGTTAATTTTAGTTGTATTTTATTGTTTTTTAATTATTATTTTTTCAAGTTCCTCCTTCATTATTCAGTTGCATTATTTTTTCAGGTTCATTCTTCAACGTAGAGTTGAATGAGAATTGAATTTCATAAATTATTTTGATTTGATTTATTTAGAGTTGTCACGGTTTCATGAACCGGATCACGAATTTAGAGTTACCTTTAGTTGATCTAATATATTGTTGTTTCAATATTAAAAAAAAAGAAGATGTCATCTTAAACTTTTTTAAATCAAAATATGTTTTTATAATCATCCAGGTTGCTTTTAGATCCATCAAGTTGACCATATCATATCAAGTCAACTCCCACATAATTTAAATTTTTTCTACTATAAAAATGTTGACTACGGCTGAAAGTTTTTTCTATAAGCCAATAATTTAATACTCTTGTACTATTTTAGTAGTCTTAATTTTGTGTTCAAAGTACTTATTATATTAATTTTATTTTAAAGTTGTTTGATTTCTCAATAAATATTTTTATAAGAATTACTTGATGAAAAAACATTAAGTTCTAATATAATGGTGTATTTTTTTTAAATACAATTTAAATGAAAAAATAGATTTAAAACTTTAAAACTAGATGATAGTTCTTGATTAATTTTTTTTTAAAAATTAGGAATAAAAATTTAATATAAAAGTTCTTGATTAATTTTTAAAAAAAAATTAGGAATAAAAATTTAATATAAATATTGTTTGATGATAAAACTAAAAAAATAAAAATAAGAAGCAACAATAAAGCAATGTAACCCTAGAAACAAAACATAATGGATTGAAAAAGTGAAATAATATTTTTCCCTTTTTAAAAAAATTACCAAAGCTTGTTATTAGAGCTAAAACCATCTTTTTCAATGCACCTATTAGAAATTACTAAATTGATTGAGGGAAAATTGACATGTACAGTTGTTTTTAGCACAACAAAATAACTTTGTTACCTTAAAAGTAAATCAATATATAATTTTTGTCCATAATTGTTTTTTTCAATAATCTTTACACAATAAAATAACGTTGATACTTTTAAAAGTAAAAATATTAAACTTGGAAAAAGGAGCTTTTTCATTTTTTTTAGGGTCCTCGGATTGACATTAATGGTACTTTTTTTTTTATATATTTGTCTCTTTAAAATTTTAAAGTAGTTTTTTATTTTTTTTTCTTTTAAATTTGGTTTAAGTTCTTTTAATTACTATTATTTTATATAAAATAATTTATCAAATTTTATTTTTTTTATTTTTTATATGTTAAATTTAATCTCTATTGTTTTAATTATTATTTATTTTATTTGAGATAATTTTTAAAATTAATTTATTTTTATAATTTCATCCTTCAATTCCTTTTCCTACTAAATTTGATCCTTGTTATCTTGATTGTTATTTTTTTAATTTAGCAAAGTTTTTAAATCAAAGAATTTTTTTTCAGTTTTATTCTTTAACATTAAATTAGTTACGAATTGAACTTATTTATTAAATTCAAGTTTAAGATTTTATGAATTGTGAATTTAGAAAATTAACCTAAATTTAGAAGATTCATAAGAATTTGCTTATTTATTTTTTTTAAGCTTATATCTTTTCAGTTTCACCGCTCTATATTTATTTAGTTGGATATCGAGACCCATTATTTTTTTATTTACTATCTATTAGATGTTTTATTAATTTTAAAAATCACTCAGGTTATCCTTCTTTTTATAAGTAGAGTATTTAATAATTAAGTTTTATAATTTTATTAAATTTATTTCTAATAAGGTTAACTTGATATCATAACCAGGTCGTAGATTTTTCATGTTGACTCAAGTTGAGTTTTTTGACCTTTTTGGATTATAATTTCTTCTTTAATTTTGTCTTTTAATATTTTATTTATTGACTTTAATTTTTATGAGATTATTGTGTTTTTATTTTTTTTCCTTTGTTACCATATAAAATCCTTCAATATTTAATATTTTTAAAAATAAATTTTTTATTTTAATTTCATTATTTAATTGATTATGAATTAGTTTTTGTGCTTTTGTTTTCTAATTTTTTTCTACGAGTTTTTCCTATTTTATATTCATAATCACAAGGTTAATAAATTATCTTGGTTTGACTTATTTTTTTTATTAGTTTAAATAAATATTAATTTTTTTTATTTTTATTCTTTAATTTTAAGTTATTTAATGATTAAATTTAATAATTTTATTCTAGTATGTAATAATTAAATTTAATAATTTTATTCTAGTATGAAAATTGATTTATATATTTAGAGTACTAATTTAGATGCGCTTGAGTTGCCTTGTTTTCATTTTATTTACTGTCATTATATATATGTTATTAAATTATCGAAGCTCGTTAAATTTAAGAGGGTAAATAACTAGAATCTCATAATTTTTTTATATCTTTTTAAAAATATTTATGTTATTTTAATATATTTTTTATATTAATAAAATTAGATTGTTCCGCAGCGACGGGTTCTCTAGTTGAGAATCTCTGTTATTTCATAGTTTTGTCAAAAAAAAAGAAAAAGAAAACACCTGTAAAACCCTAGTAGCTTCCAAAAAAAAACACCTGTAAAACCCTAGTAGCTTCCCAAACCCCCTCTGCATCCATCCTCATAATCAGCACCTCTTCGAGAACCTTGAAGGAAGAAAAAAGGGGTGGGGGGGGGGGGGGGGGCAAGTGGCAAAAAATGGTCCGCAGCATAAAAAATCCAAAGAAGGCAAAGAGAAAGAACAAGGTCTCCATCAATTTCTTACAAGCAATTCCTTCCTTCATTCTTTGAATTGGGTTTCCTTTTATTTTTCTCTAACTTAACAAAAATTTATTTGTTTTTGGCTTTTTGCTAATATAATTAACTTGAATTACTCACAGAAAGGAGATGAGTCATCTTCTTCTTCATCAATACCATCCATGCCTACGAAGGTCTGGCAACCAGGTGTCGACAAGCTTGGAGAAGAAGAAGAACTTGAGTGTGACCCTACCGCTTACAATTCCCTTCACGCCTTTCACATTGGCTGGCCCTGCTTAAGGTCAATACACTTCTTTTCTAGTCGTTAAAGCAAGCTTAATTTTAATCAATTGTTTTTACAGTTTAGGTTTGAAAAGAAAAGACCTGAACTTGAAGGGTAAGTAATTCTGGGCCATTAAGAAAAAGATAGGAAAGTTTTAGTGTGAGATAATTTAGTAACGTTTATGTTTATTCTTATGAGTTTAAGTGTTTTTCTTTTGCAGTTTTGATGTAGTGCGCGATTCACTTGGTTTGCTTCGGACTGATTTTCCACACACAGTGTATTTTGTTGCTGGAACTCAGGTCATAAATCCATTTTTTTTTTCCGTAGTGTATTGTTAGTCAATGGAGAAACATGATTATATTTTTGTTAAGCTGAAGATTGTATTTCTCTTCATTCTTGTCTGTTACTCCTTTTCTTATATATAGGTAACATCAACAATTATGAATAACAGACAAACTGTTATAAGGGGCCAAACTTTAGGTACTCTAGTAATTGAATGAAAAGGAGAAAAATTTAACTAGAATTAATGAAAAGCTTTATTTGGCGAATTTTGTTTCCTAGAGGAATAAAATCAGTCCTTGGAAAACGTTAGTGCATGTTTGTTAAACCTTTTCTTTAATTCTGTTATTGTATATAATTATGTAGTGTAATGTCAATTTTGCAGGCAGAAAAACCTGATTGGAACTCAATTGGAATATTTAAAGTGTCTAATGTTTCTGGAAAACAACGTGAATTGGTGCCCTCCAAAACTACAGCTGGTGACTCTGACATGGATACTGATAATAGTGATAGTGATGAAGACAGCGATGATGAAGAAGAGGGAGGATCGGCAACACCTGTTTTGCAGGTACAATTTGCATTCTTGTTTTCATTATTCATCTCTTCAAATCATGCATCTCTCTCTTTCTCTGTCTTTCTTTTTTCCTTTTCAGTATGCATTTTCATATTTGGATTTTTCTTTCACAGTTGCGCAAGGTTGCTCATAGAGGATGTATTAATCGTATTCGTGCTATGACACAAAATCCCCATATATGTGCTTCTTGGTCCGATGCTGGTTATGTTCAGGTTGAATTCTGTGCGTACTATCTAAAGTTCTTGAAGATCTTAAAAATATTTCTTGCAAACATATTGCCATCTCAAAGGGTTGTACAATTCTTGATTTTGAACATAATGTCATAAAATGGTGAACTGGAGTTTTGAACTAATCAGATTACTGTGAAATTTTAGATTCTAGGCTTCTGGATCATCTTTTATGTGCTTTCAACCTTACATGCAGATATGGGATTTCAGCACTCATCTGAATGCTTTGGCAGAGTCAGAAACAGAAGTTCCCCGGGGAGGTTCTTCAGTTTTTAATCAAGCTCCATTATTTAACTTCAAAGGGCATAAAGATGAAGGCTATGCTATAGATTGGAGTCCTCGTGTTGCTGGAAGGCTGGTAACTGGTAATATGGAACGTCACTTTCTCCTATTCAGTAGCCTTCATGGAAGAAACTATAATGCTCAGCTGCTTGATACATAAAATGCTCTAATGCTGGAAGATCTTCCTAAATGTTTGAAGGTGACTGCAAGAACTGTATTCACTTATGGGAGCCCACATCTGGTGCAACATGGAATGTTGATGCTACTCCATTTACTGGTCACACTGCTAGCGTAGAAGATCTACAAGTTTGTAATTTGATTCTGAATCCAATACAACTTATTATTTTGATTTTTCCAATCCTGCAAACTTTCTGATTGCAACTTCTGCTTATGCAGTGGAGTTCCACAGAAGATCATGTGTTTGCCTCTTGTTCTGTGGATGGGCATATTGCAATATGGGATGCACGTCTGGGGAAGTCACCAGCTATTTATTTCAAGGCACATAATGCAGATGTAAACGTGATTTCCTGGAACAGGTGTTTGAATCATTAGGATATCTTACTCATCCTCCGTAGTAGCACCCTTTTGATTTTTTTTATATATATATAAAACTAATCAATAACTTCATTCATTGTGATAGGCTGGCTAGTGTCATGTTGGCATCTGGAAGTGATGATGGAACATTTTCTATTCGTGATCTTAGATTGTTATCACCAAAATCGGTATGTTGTGTCTGATGTATGCATTATGAATTTTTGCTAAAAGAATATGAGTTCTCATGACACATTTTCGGACCCGGAAGAAATCTTGTTCAACAATGGTGCTCTCAATTTCACGTGTTCCAGATCTGAATATATTTGGTCTTATCCTTAGTATACAGTTACACTTTAGGATTATCCTAGCTGGACTTTACACTGTCCTTGTACGCAGTTAACAGTTATAGAACCTTTCTCCCAGGGTTGGTTTTTGGTACTTTTGTGTGCCATTTGCTATTAGTTTTCTAAAATGGCATCAACATTTTGTACTTTTATATGCCATTCACTATCAGTTTTCTCCCAGTTTAAGTGATTTTGTACCTCATATACCTTTTACTATCAGTTTCTCCCGGTTAGTGTTTTATACTTTCAGATGCCATTTGCTATTTGATTTCTCTAGTTGCAGTCTTGTCATCATATATCTTTTATGTCAGCAGGAAGAAGATAAATCTTTAGTGGCACATTTTCAATACCATAAGCACCCTATCACATCCATCGAGTGGAGTCCACATGAAGCCTCCACATTGGCAGTTTCATCATCTGATAATCAACTGACGTAAGTAATACTCCATACAAAGAGCAACGGATGAAAGCCTTTTAATAGGATATGACCAATCTTTACGTCAATGTTTTTTGGTCCTTTTGTCCGGGCACTGATTTCTCTTTTCCTTGAAATTTACTAGAATATGGGACCTTTCCCTGGAAAAGGATGAGGAAGAGGAAGCAGAGTTCAAAGCTAAAACAAAAGAGCAAGTAAATGCCCCAGCAGATTTGCCGCCTCAACTTTTGTTTGTTCATCAGGTATGTTTTGTGAAACTCTCATACGAGGACATTTATTTCAAAGTTCAAAATGCTCCCTTTCAGATCCTTGACTTACTTTCATACTATGAGCAGGGACAAAAAGACTTGAAAGAACTTCACTGGCATGCTCAGATTCCAGGAATGATTGTGTCTACTGCCTCAGATGGTTTTAACATCTTGATGCCTTCAAACATACAGAGTACTCTTCCCTCTGAAGGTGTTTGAAACTTCAAGATTTTGTAAACAGAAATCTGAGTAGGACAACCAGCTTGTGTTTGAATGGCATTGATGTTGTGCTGTCTTCTTCTTCCTGTTCTCAATGTGCCTTTCTTCCTCCTTTTAAGGAAGATTGATGCGGTAAAGGTTTCTTCAAAAAGCAAGTAGCTTCATATATATATAATGTCTGTTATGGATGTGCTTCACGGGAAAGAGTAGCTGCCTCATCGCGGAGCATTAAGCTTTGGCATCTTTATCGTTGTACTTGAAGTCCAAATAACCCTTCTGGCTGGATGTTTCCAGTGTATTGCAGATAAACCCGTGTTGGTAGTCAGCCTATAATCCACAAAGTAAGAAACAAAAATTGAATTATAGCAGCATTGTGGTAATATGAATTATGAGCAATTGATTTAGTTATTCTTTCAGCTAGTGTACAAGTGTGCGGCCGAAATAGCAGGACATATCTTGGTTTTGTATTTGCATTGCGAGCGGGAAATCACTTGAGTGCGGCATTTGCATGGTGAATGTTGCCATTTTATTCTTTGCCAATGTAATCTACAGTCTTAGTTTCTAAAGACAATTGGCTTTTACGTTGCTTTAATATGCCGTCTTGCTTTTCATCCTTTTGTTGTTACTGTAACTAGCTTGTTTTTACGTCTGTATCTTTTTAGTTGTTTGAAAATTGTTTTTAATCCATGTCGTTACTGTTACTGCTGAAGCAATGAACTTGATTTTACCTAAATATTTTCACCTAAAGAGCCATGGGCCGGCACGTATTCAAATCCCTTCACTGGCAGTATCATGTCTCATAAGCCCTCAAGTTACCCTCTAGCTAGGCTGCTAATGCTCTACAAGCTGACACTAGTGAAAGTGAGTTTCTTGAAGTTTTGTCAGGTGCTCTGCAAAGCTTTTCGAGCACCTTTCTTGATTAACGTAAGGCCCAATATCAATGTCTTTTGGTTATTACAACTAGTGCTTAGCAGCATAAAAGCATCTTCAATTAAAAATATTATATTGAAAAGTCAAATAAAAATAATATCTTTTTAAATAATATAAATATAACTTTTTAAATTATATGTGTTCTAATAATAAAAGGCTATTTAGAAAAGTCATTTATATTTTAATATATTTCATATTAAATTAATTTTAATATAATTATATAACTAATTTAGATATTTTATATATAATATAATTATGATGTTATTAATTATATGATTAATATGAGTAATTTATAAAAGTAATATAAAATTAATGAAGTAATATGAAAATTGTCTTCCTTAACCCATATTAAAAACATAAAATAATAAAAAAATAAAACTCATCACAAATATTAAATTAACAACAAAAGGTCTAAAAAATCAAGAGATATAAAAAAGAAAATAGAAAAAGCTTTTAAACAAGCCTACCTTTTAATTTCAGCTAATTAACACAATCAATGTTAATAATTAACCGGAGAATAATTGATTTTTTTTTTAAATTTAAGAGAAGGGTGAGGCACAATACAAAAATTTAAAACTACAAGTTTTTTCTTTATGTATTTATAGAAAATTTCTTCTATATTTTTTTTTAAAAAAAGCTGTTGGCCAACGGCTATAAAAATAGTCATTGGCCAACAGTTATCATTTTAGCTATTTCTACAGTTAAATGTAGAAATGACTGTTAAGAAAACAAATAACCATTTTAGTTATTTGTTTAGCTTCTCTGTTGGAATGTAAATAGTGAAAAAATAAAAGGAAAAGGATGTTTGGCTTCTCATTTAGCTGCTCGATTGGAGCTGCTCTAAGTTATAAAACCTGATTTGTTTCAATATTCGGTTAATAGATTGGTTGCGTCAATTCAAATTTATTTAAATAGTTTTATTTAAAAAAAGTTAAAATGATATTATTTAGATTTAAAAAAAATATTAAATTGCATTTTAGTCTAGTTTTGACCGCATCTATATAGTCATGGATTGATATTTTATATATTCATTGAATTAATTTTATTAAGGAGTTACTAAATTAACTCGATAGACTTCATAACACTAACATGTAATTTAGATTTTCCATCCCTTTGGTTGAAGTGGGGATGCAATAAATACGAAAAAGAATTGAAGTTTTCGCCATCAGAGTATTTATTGGAATTATTGTTTTTATGTTTTAGAAATATTTTTGAAAAAAATTAAATTTTTTTATTTATTTCAAATTAATATATTTTTAGTGTTTTTAGATTATTTTGATATGCTAATATGAAAAATAATTTTAAAAAAATGAAAAAATATCATTAACATGTATTTTAATATGAAAAATTATTTAAAAATCAATCATAATTACACTTCTAAATAAATTAACCCTAAAATCAAGTGTTTTTAAATATAATTCACACGCTTGTGGATACAGAGACATCAATTATGAAGCTGATAAAATAAGAACATGTGCTTCACTCATCCTTCCAATTTCTTAAGAAGAACACAATTATTAAGTGATGATCTAATAACATCATATATTTAATCAATGGACTTGGATTATGATTTATGTCCAGTGGTATTAAATATAGTTATCCACAGGGCACAACCACCTTAATTTACGACAAGCAAAGAAAGCAAAGAACATTCATATGCATAATCAAATCACTAATGAGTATCTGAAACCACGTTATTTATGTAACATGATTGGATGTCTCACCAAGAACCTGTAGCCAAAGACATTCCACCAAAGGTTATTTTGAAGAAGCAAATATTCAATTGATTGAATCTCAATGCCAACAATAATTAGTCAATTGATTGGTTATTAGACTGAGATGGAGTTGATGAGACAATAATTGGACATCCCTTTCTTCATTAATAGCCACGCCGCCGCCATCATTTCCTCCTCCTCGCCGCCACCAACTACACATGCATGTTTTTTAAGGTCCTGTGAATGGACATTGTCATCGGCCATGGTACTATAGAAATGTTGACAGAAATTATAATAATAAAAACTTGGAAATTAACTCGAATTCCGCTGCCATGTTTTTTTTTTCCTTTCTCTCGGAAGTCCCAAGATGATGTTTAAATGCACGCTTTCTTTTTTGATTATGATTTGACCTAAGTTGCTTGGAACAATATCCAAGTGATTTTAATCACTATTGAATTTCATTCTTCTGTCAGCTGTGGCTGTTCTGGATAGAGTTGTGTATCTACTTCACCAGAAGATAGATTTTGGAGCTTGAGTAACGTTAGGATAAGGTGCAAAAACTCTCGACTTCTACAGCAATTGTTTCCGTATCTGCTTTTTTTTAGAAACTTAATAACTGTATAGTAAATAAATGGAAGAGATTATGATAATAGTTGTTTTTAAAAGTTTTTATATTTAAAAATATATTAAAATAATATTTTTAAAATTACTTTTTATATTAATATATCAAAACATCCAAAAATAGATTTGATATTACAGTGCGTGAATTTAATTCACTTTATACTAATTTTTTCGAAAAAACATATTGTTTACATGGCAATACGAGTGAATTTAATTCACCTTACACTAGTTTTTTTTTTTTTTAAATATTGTTTACATAATAATACAAGTAAATTTAATTCACTCTAAATTAATTTTTTTAAAAAATTAAAAATATATAAAAAATAAAAAGTTCATCAAAATAGTGCAAGTGAATTGCACTGTTTATTGTTTGAAGTGAACAGTGCAATTCACTTGCATTGTTCACGAAAACACTAATTGTTGAAAAGTTGTCAGGAGTTGTTTCGCTAAAATTGCGTGTAAGACATGAATTATCATGGACCCCATTAAAAATAAATTGCGTTTTTTATATAACCAAACATAATATTTACTATAATTGCTTCAAATACAGAAACAACCACACAAACAAACGGTTTCTTAATACTATATTAGCAGACGTAATAACTATATAGTAAATAAATGAACGACATCATGATAATCGTTTTTTTAAAAGTTTTTTATATTTAAAAATATATTAAAATAATATTTTTTTAATTATATTTTATATTAATACATCAACATAATTCAAAAATATAAAACAAATTAATTTTAATCACACAAAAATTAAATTTTATAAAATATTTCTAGAACGCAATTCAAAACAAGTTTAAATGCAATAAAATGATGATGAATATTCTTTAGAAACTTAATGCTATATTAGCAGACTTAATAACTGTATAGTAAATAAATGGAAGAGATTATGGTAATAGTTGTTTTTTTAAAAAATTATATTTAAAAATATATTAAAATAATATTTTTAAAATTATTTTTTATATTAATATATTAAAACAATCCAAAAATAAATTTGATATTACAGTGTGTGAATTTAATTTACTCTACACTAGTTTTTTAGAAAAAAATATTGTTTACATGGTAATACGAGTGAATTTAATTCACTCTAAATTAATTTTTTTTAAAAATTAAAAATATATAAAAAATAAATATACTGAAAACAAAGTTCACGACAAACAATGCAAGTGAATTGCACTGTTCATTGTTTTAAGTGAACAATATAATTCACTTGTATTGTTTACAAAAACACTAATTGTTGAAAAGTAATCAAGAGCTGTTTCGCTAAAATTGCGTGTAAGACATGAATTACCATGAACCTCATAAAAAATAAATTGTGTTTTTTATATAACTAAACATAATATTTACTATAATTGCTTCAAATGTAGAAGCAACTACACAAACAAACAATTTCTTAATGCTATATTAACAGACTTAATAATTGTATAGTAAATAAATGAATCACATCATGGTAATTGTTGTTTTTAAAAGTTTTTTATATTTAAAAATATATTAAAATAATATTTTTTTAATTATGTTTTATATTAATCCATCAACATACTTCAAGAATATAAAAAAATATTAATTTTAATCATACAAAAATTATTTTTTATAAAATGTTTCTAGAAAGCAATTCAAAACAAATTTAAATGCAATAAAATGATGATGAATATTCAAAGAAATGCTCCCCGAATAATGAAGAAAAAATGCAAGTCATGATCTCACTTGTATTACTACCAAATCTTTGAAAACTAAGTTAACCTACATAGGTTTGTTTGAATGAAATCTTTCAATCTTTTGAGCGTTTCTAATCCATGATCAATAGGGTAAGACTCTTCCTAATGCTACTAATCATAGTCATGAGCGCATCCTCAATTTGTCGTTCACGACTTTTGTTTTCTCCTCGTCCCTTTTACTACGTTTAGTGTAAAAGTCTTAGGAGTTCAATATTTAGTAATATAGAGATCATAATTAAGCACTTTTAATTAAGCTAATAACTCTCCATTTGTAGCCATCTCATTTTATCACCTTCTTTCCTTAATTAAGAGCTATACTATGTCTACTGCTGTCTTCATCCCTAGATCATAGGCACAATAGGTAATCTCATAATTTCTTCCTCGAAATCGAATATATTATTCACAACAAGACAGAGATTGGCTGGCAATAAAGTGTCTCTCAAGGCTATATCAATTTTTTTAATTTTAAATAAATTTTATTTGTTTTTTAAATTATTTTAATATTCTGAGGTTAAAAATATATTTTAAAAAATTATTATTTAGATTTTTTAAAATAAAAAATATTTTAAAAAGTAATTTGACTCTATTCATTATATATT